TCCTGACAAATCTTCCAAGCACCTATGGTCCTTCCCATACCATGAACTATACTCCTCCCTCCATATGGAACATCCTTTCCAATTCTTCTTTGCTAAGTTCACTGCTGAGCCTCTCTCTCGGTCCAAGAGCCCCTTCTCCAGGAAGCCTGCCTTGAGTACTTCCTCCAATTCTAGGTTGAGGGTTAGTCTAAGAAGTTTCTATAATCTCTGCCTTATACTTGCATTCACATATCCCAGCTCTTTGTTAATGTCTAGTTAACATTTCCTGTCTCATTTTCCATGGAATTATTTTTAAAAACTAATTTTTTTTTATTTTTTTAAAGTGCGTGCGTGTGTGTGTGTGTGTGTGTGTGTGTGTGTGTGTGTGTGTGTGTGTGTGTGTGTGTGTGTGAATGCAGATGCCTGTGGGGGCCAGAAGAGGTGTCAGATCCCCTGAAGAGAAGTTACAGGTGGTTGTGAGCCACCTGATGTGGGTAAGGGATCCAAACTCAAGACCTCTGAAAGGACAGCATGTGCTCTTAACCACAGAGTCATCTCTCTAGCCTTCTACTGAATTCTTAGTGTTTAACACCGAATCTAGTATGGTAATGCATCCCAGTAAAGACTTCTTAAATCTACATTTAAAAAGATAAAATACTATATGTGTATGGTTATAAATCTTTAAGACACTCAGAAAGTATCATGAAGAAATTATACCAAAATAATAACAGTGCTTGCATTAAGATTAGGTATGCTTCTCTTCATCTATTCTCTACTGCCTGCGAGTCTGTAGTGTAAATGCACAACCTTTCCATTTTAGACCTTTAAGATGTATGGTTCAAAGTAGGTGTGTAATACCTGGAGGGTGGGAGGAGTGCTATGAGGTGCTCCCTTCTGAATATGACGTGGCTATGGAAATCACGAACACACAGCAACTCTGGTGACCTGCACAGGCCCTTCAACAGTCCATCATGGATGAAGGAAGGGGCTTATGAGCCCCACTCCACCCCTAGTCCCAAGGGGCTATTGGCAGTTAATGGTAACAAGGGGAGGAGGGTCTTTCTTTGTGGTATAGCCATGGAAAGTTGTCCACACTCCGGTAAATAACCCCCTACCTATGCTTAAACAAGCACCTGTAATTATACCTAATGGGTCACAAAAAAAGATACGAATGTAGAAGAACAGCTAGTTGGTGAGAGCAAGATTGTCACCAGGAGCGAGAGAAGGATAAGAAGGGACAAAGAAGATTGATCATAATGCATTGCATTTATCTATGAAATGGTCAAAGACATTTTAAAATACTGCAACCACTTTTTTAAAAGTAGAAGTGACATACTATTTTAACTCCCAGCAATAAGATGACTTATTTCAACCTATATTGGAAAGAATTGCTTTAGGAACGATGATTCTGAAGGGTGCCCCAAAGTTGCCCCTGATGTGATTTGACCTACATGTTGTTAGTTGTGGGGAGGGGTATGACCTCACAGGAGAACGGCTCATTACTGCTCTGTCTGACTTCAGTAATGAGCACACTAGTCACCTTGGCAGGTAGGCATTATCCAGGTGGCCTGTCTGCCCCGAGGATGTGGGTTACAGAGATGTCCCATTGCTTCATTGCTGAAGATAAGTTGGGTCTGGGTAGCTTTCATCAAGGTGAAACTACCTGGCATTCTGCGCGTTCTTAGCATCCCTCAAGGGGATAGAGATGCCAAATGCTTGAGACCGTTTTCTCTAGGTCTAAAGAGCCAGACACCTAAGTGTTGTCGGGTGTTAGCTAAAGAGCTGGACCGTGCCTGGGTCCTGGGAGAGGCACTGGTTCTGGAGCCCATGTTGGAGAACTGCAGGAAGTAAAGGATGAGGTGGTGTGTTTGTAATGGTGGCATAAGAGGATGTTGATCAGGTGCTATGCAGCATGTTTTACCTTCTGGAAAACTCCTACTTACCCTCTGGCTGGGCTGCAGATCCACCACCTGCTGTAAAGGCTGCAGGTGCCAGAAGCCTCCTTTCTTAGACCCCTCTGGGGCTAGAATACGTAAGTGACTCCCCCACCCCAATTCTTGCCCAACATTCAACCACCTCATAATGCAAAATGAATTTAGTTCATCTGTAAGAGTCCACTAAGTCTTAGTAGTTTTAACACTGTTCAAAGGGCCAAAGTCCAAAGTATGCCTTGAGATGTGAGGTAATCTCTCAACTGTAAGCCCCATAAAAGAGTTTTCATCTTTTCTGTTTACAGTGGCACGGGGTAAACATCCCTATTCCAAAGAGAGGATACCAAAGGAACATCAGACCAAAACAATCCCAAAGCCCAGTCACATGTGAACACCAGGGTTCAGGTCTACAAAATGGCAGTTGTTCCCATACCAACCATTCACCCCCCCCCCCCCCATGACTCTGGGAAAGGGGAAGGTTCCCAAATGTTGTGGAGAATAATCACAAAGGCTAGACTTAGGAGTGATGTCTGGAGTCCTTTCCACTAACTTGTAAGCTGACTGGGAACTTCATTTCCTCTGTCTTTGGAGGCCCCATGCCTGATACACAAACTCTGGGCCAGCAGCTGTTGCAGGGAATCCAGAAGTGTTAGCCAGGCCCTACTCACAGCAGGTGAGAGTGGAGCCCAGCGCCAGGTTGGGGCTCTGCCTGAATGCCCACCCTTGCCTCTGCTGAAACCTAAGCTTCACATATGATGTTATGGAAGAGTCTAATCCACACGCAGCCTTGAACATGAGGCTATGGCACAAGGCAAGAAGTTACTGAATTTGGACAGGAAATCTGAAGATCAAGAAATTGGTACCAGGCATCTTGCCTGTTCAATAAGCATTGACTTGATTTCACTGTAGAACAACATTTTCAAGGACTCTGTCACACCTTTGTATAGAGATGTGTGGGGACTCTGAGAAGCCCAAGAGTTCGGGGGCATCGCTGATCCCCAGGCCCCATCCAAAAATGGGTGGTTTCAATGGATCCTTGGAATGACTGTTTGGACATTGGGGAACTAGTCCGAGTAAAGCAGGTAATGAAGCTAATTCCATTACCAGCTGCGTAATGAAGCTAATTCCATTACCAGCTGCTTCACAAACAAAACGTCCCCAGATGTGACCTTGTCTCCCTCTTGCCCCAGTGCAATCCAAGTCACCCCCACGTCCCATGTGGAGGACTTTGTCTGTCTCCTCCCATTCTTTGCCTTCCTCCCATCCCTCCCTTTCACCAGCAGCTCAGAGATCTTTGAAAAGAGTTTAGTTGGGTTGCTGCTTTTCCTTGCTGCAAATCCGTAAGTCCCTTCCCCTCATCCCCCCAACACACACCTCTGCAAGTCAACTCCAAGCCTCTTCTCACGGCCACTGAGCTGGCTCCTGATCCCTTCTGCCACCTCTCTCCTGTCACCCCTCCCTCTCATCCCCTACCCTCCAGCCTTATTGCCTGTGTTTCCAGCCCCTGGAATCCATTGAATTTTCCCTCTGCCCAGAAATGTTTACAGCTCTCCCTCAGACTGGCACCTTCTCACCACGTGCACCCACCTCTAACACCCACTGGCTGTCCGTTGCTAGAGCCTCCTGCTACAGAAGATTGTCTGCTCTATTTAATTGGTTGCATCATTGTTGTACCGAAGGGTGCATGGGAGGAAAGCCCTTACTTGGTCAAGTCCATCCTTGTGTTCTAACCTAGAATATTGTGACTTCATCATGAGTACTGGGTGAGGTGATTGAGTTCTTTGGGGATTCAGCTGTATCATAGGTTTAAATGCTCTCCAAACTCATATGGTAAAAGGCCTTATACACCTATAACATTGGTGGTGGTGGTGGGGAATACATTTGGCAGAGAAAAAGCCCTCACTGAACAGTGTTCTTTCTGCTATTAAAGTTTTGTAAACTACTTGATTCTTAGTCAACTAGTTCTGCCCAGTGAGATAAGTTACCATTCACATTTGTCTCTCTTAGGTGGTGGCAATGAAACATCTTGGTGGGCTTCTCCTGTCTCTGTGACTGCTCCTTCTAACGTGCTTACAGAGTGCAAAGCTTCAGAGTAGCTATGAGAAGCATGGCCCTAGTTTGCTCCTCACCTGCCTTGCCCAATGGGAAGAACACAGCTTGAGTGGGAAATTCAGTTCATTGAGTAAAGCCAGTGGGATTTGGGGGCTTGCATGTTACTGTGTCATAACCCAGCCTGTCCTCACTGATGGAATGGTGTATACATTTTGAACTCTTACTGCATTCCAAGACTTTTGCTTGCGTGATCTCTTTGTTCTTTTCAGTGTTATATAAGGTCGATTTGATTATTATTCTCATTTTACAGAGAAGGGAACAAAGAGATTAAAAAAGAATAAAGAACTTACTCAAAATCTGGTAGACAAAACGGAAGATTTTCAAATCTGACTCCAGGAAGTCTGACCTCAGAGTCCAGGCTTCTCATCACTGAACCACACGTTTAAGCAACATTTCCATTCCATGCCTCCAGTTGTTTCAATCGTAAAGATAAAGCATCAAGTCCCACTGGCGAGAAGAAGTCCCTCCCCGTGGTTATCCTAAGAACATCTTTGAAATAAACCCACTTAAGGAGATGCTGCCCTAACTGGTTCCTCTTTGTCTTTGAAGCACTAATTGAATGATCCTGGAAGCAGTTCTCTTACTTGGAGTCTGCCTGCCATCCTGCCCGCTAATTTTAAAATGTATGGATCTCTCTGCTTTAGACCCAAGGCCATATTGATTCTGGAATATGCGCCACTAATTGCTGAGTGCCTGCCTCTAAGAAGCAAGAACAGGGGGAGAGAGAGAAAAAAAAAAAAAGCTTGCATGTCAATATTTGTTACTAACCTTGACAAATAATCATTTTAAGTGATGGTGACTTTTTCCTCCTCTAGAGCTTTAATTACTGACTGGCACACACTGCAATCATTTTGTTCTTGCGTGTGTTTAATAGTCTGTAATCCATTTTAATTACATTCTTTGCTTATCAAGATCAGGCTTCCAAACAAGGGTAGGACAAAATTTAACTTCTGCCTTTTCTCTATTTCCTTCTCCTAGTCGGAGCCTCAGAAATATAACAGGGAGTTGAAACCAGCTTTAAAGATAAAGTCTGCTCTTTGCGCTTAAAGCAAACAAACGGGATGATTCCAAAGAAGTCTCTGTGTGCCTTTTCCAATCTGGTGGTTCATTGACGAGAAGAGATGGACACATTTGCTTCCTCCATTACACTCGGAATGAGAAACTTGTGGAGAGAACTTTGGAAGGCTATAGGCTGGAGAGAGAACTCTCTTTTTTTCGTCTGGGTGGTGAGTGAAAGGGTATCGTGTTAAAAATCCATCGACTTTGTGCATTTTATGTTTTATACAGCTTTCCATACATAAGCTACAATCCCATGAAAATATTATATAATTTTATATAATATAAAAAGTCCACCACTCAGGACTGGGTTCTCGGGGTTGCTCCATCATTTAAGGTTGGCTAAGCGCTTCTTGTGACCACGTCTCTCTGACATCTAACTTTCTCATTTACTAGATGTGGGCCCACTAGAAAAGGAAATGGGGGGACCTAGACCCGTCACACAGGAAGATCCTGTGACTTACCTAACAGTGCCCACGCATGACTTCCCACGCAGTGACTGGAGATTCAGCCCAAGACTGACTAGAAAGCAGATCTGGAAAAACCTCAGCCAGTTCAGACAGAGGTGCAGAGAAGCACTGTCCACCAAAGGAGTGCCACCCTGAGCAGGGACAGACAGAGAAACACTGTCTACCAAAGGAGTGCCACCCTGAGCAGGGACAGACAGAGCCACGGTGGGCATGCTAAGTGCCTGGCTCCAAGCTCCCTGAAGGATTGTGGTTCAGAGCCCCAAACAGGAGCCATAGAAATCGCAGTTCGTTTTGTTTTGTTTGTTTGTTTCATGAAAGGTGTACTATAAATAACGTTACAATGAGAGAGGAAATGCCCTTTTTTGGTGGCCAGTGAAGCTTTCAGAGCTGTCGACGCCAGATTTGACGCTTGACTCCAGAAACACGGCGGGCCTGACTTCCTTCAGTGCCCTTCAATCTCCTAAATTTGTCCCTTTGTTCTATTATTATTGTCTCTGGGCCATTTTGAGACCATTTAACTTTATTCACTAGAACTTCTTTTTAATTTTTCTTTCTAATGAAATATTCCAGTTTTGTGTAGACATCTGACCCGCGCCCCCTGCCACCCCTCACTCCCCCTACTCCACATCCCTCACTCCCTCCATTCCCCACCCCCGCTCTCTTTTTATGTGGTCAATTGCATCTCCTGTCTCCATTGCTTCGCTTCTGTGATTAGCTCCATTCCTAATCAGAGTGAAGAGTTCTGCACCAGACACACCCCTCAGCCAGAGACTTCAGCAGAGCCTGCTGCACCGCCCCCATGGAGAGAGACTGGGAGTACAGAGAGTTGGAGCTCTGCAGCCATGTTGCCACCGTGAGCGGAGAGCTTGGAGCAATTAGGACACTTGTGGGAAGCCTGATAAACAAAACTAACCTGGTAAAAGGCAAGAGCAGGACCCAAGACGCCGTGAGGGTGTCTAAACCTGGAATCTATGTCTGAATCCAGACCTGGCCTCCTCGATTGTATCTGTCTCCAAAGTTCTTTTCCTTAAGCCAGTCTGAGTTGCTTTCAACTGACTTTGTTCTAACTAAAGTCCAACTATCAGGTTTTAAAGCTACTCATTTGGAGCCCCCCGCCCCCTTTTATTTGCCAAAGTCCCTGGAGTAACCATCAAATTAGTCCCAGATGGTTCGTTAACATCAGCCAAGTGCTTTCAAAATAAAAATAAAAAGCAGTATTTTTGTTTTAATTAAATCCGCACAGTAAGGTTCCTCCTCCCTATAATACCACCACGCACACACGCGCGCGCGCGCGCGCGCGAGAGAGAGAGAGAGAGAGAGAGAGAGAGAGAGAGAGAGAGAGAGAGAGAGAGAGAGAGCACATTTGAGAGTTTCTACCTGTATCTTGTTTAGTTTTTGGGTTTTTTTTTTGTTTTGTTTTGTTTTTTTTTCAAGATAGGGTTTCTCTGTGTGTAGCTTTGCGCCTTTCCTGGAACTCACTCTGTAGCCCAGGCTGGCTTTGAACTCACAGAGATCCTCCTGGCTCTGCCTCCCGAGTGCTGGGATTAAAGGCGTGCGCTACCACCGCCCGGCTTCTACCTATATCTTAACTGAGGTCTTCCTTGGAGGAACAAAATGACAGAAGGGTTTTTGTCTGTTTCCCAGATGAACACTGGCTCCTTGAGGGTGGGGTCTCGGAGCATCCATGTTCCCTGGCCCTAGCACACAGCCAGACAGGAAGGGGTGGTTTACCCAACTTGGACTTGACAATGACTAGTTGCTCTCTCCAGCCTGAGGAAGAAAGGTAGATACTTTCCTGCGCCATCTAGCTGTGTGTTACTCATCAGGTTCCTGCAGAGAGAATGTCGACCAGGGCCTCCCAGGAAGTAAGTCCATCCGGGGACACATCACAGACCACAGTCTCCTCAGCCACATTCTCCTCTCTTTCATCACCGTTTCTCATCCTACTTCACTCTCCCCTTCGTTTCTTTTTTTCTTCCTCTCCGAGTCCCCTGCTCTTACCTGTAACTCTGCTGCAAACGTGGGAGGTACTCTGGGCCTTTTATGCCTTTTTAATGGAGCTGGAGCTGTCCTGTACCCACAATTCCAGACCTATACTGCGTGAGAAAAATTCAACAAGCAAGGACACTTAGCTATGGGAACTCAAGGTTAAAAAGTGACGTGCACATAAGACATGTGACAGGTTATTCTGTTTCGTGCGTGTGTGTGCACATGCATGTATGTGCATGTGTTGCAGGCACATGTGTGTATGTGGGTGTGAATGCACATATACACATACTGAAACCAGAGAACCACTGTCACTAGGTGTTACTCAGTTTCTCCTTTTTTTCTCTTTCTTTCTCCTTCCTTCCTTCCTTCTTTCCTTCCTTCCTTCCTTTCTTTCTTTCATTTGACACAGGGTCTCTCTATGTAGCCCCTACTGTCTTGGAACTCTCTATGTAGACCAGGCTGGTCTCAGACTCACAGAGCTCTGCCTGCTTCTGCTTCCTGAGTGCTGGGATTAAAGACACTACACCACTATCCCAGAATCTCTTTGGAGACAGAATCCTCACTAGCCTGGAACTTAGCAAATAGTTGAGGTTATCTGGCCAGGGAAATCCAGAAATACACCTGTCTCTGCCTCGGCCTCCCTAATGCTGGGGTTACAAGCAAGCAATGCCACACCCAATTTTGTTGTTTTGCTTTGTTTTGACATGGGTTCTGAGCACCAAACTCAGGTCTTTATGCTTGCAAGACAAGCACTGACTGAGCTATTTCTTAAGTGTGTGAAGAAAATTCCCCAAAGCTCAAAGGTATAAAACAATAATTTTACCATTTCTCATTGTGGTGGTGGTCTGGGGTGGGGGGTGGGGAATCAGCAAATTGGGAAGAACCAATGAAGCACTTTGTTCCGAATCCATAATGTCTAAGGCCTCATCTGGAAAACACTGACAATGGTGGCCGGACTCCTCTGAAGGCATGTTTTTGTGAATGGCTAGGGTTGACTTTGGTTGTTGGTAAAAAACCTTAATGGGACAATTGATTGGAATACTTACATATGGCTTCCCCAAGGTCTGGGCTTCCTTACCACTTGGTGACTGGGTTGTGAGAATAAAGGGTAGAGAGGAAAGGGGAGGGGAGGGGAGGGGAGGGGGAGGAAGGGAGAGAGAGGAGGAGGAAGGGAGGAGGGAGAGAGGGGTAGGGAGGGTGCATGAGAGAGACAGACAGAAACAGAGAGACTACTTTTTTTTATTACAGGTATCTCTTGCAGGCCACAAGAATATATTATAGAGATTCAGCTGTACATTAAAGCTATACCTCGAAATTTCAAGGCATTTTTCTAGAGGAAGCCATTTATCAAGGAATATTTGGTGTTATTCGGTTTTTAATATTTCAGCTGTCTTCTGCTATGAAATTCTTGTGGGCCCATATCCTACTGGATCATATTGGCAAACAGCTAAGCGTCTCAGATGCTGATCCACTAGGTAACTAACACATCTGCAAGGCCTAGGAGACAAGCAGGCTGTAGATGCATAGCTTTGTTTCTTGTGCAAATGAAGCTCAGACCATCCCCTTCCTTCAAGCCTAGGGGCATTGCAGAGCGACTGACTGAGGACAACAGGGCTTTTTGAGTAACCAGGTGCAGTAAAGACTAGAGCAGAATTCCAGAGGCAGGCAGAGAGTCATGTGGCCAGGAAAGAAAGAACAAGGCAGTTTCTGTAGATGGTAGGGAGAGCCTCGTGGCCGGGGAGAAGAGAACAAGGTGAGTTTCTGTATCAGAGATGGTAATGCAGAATGGCTCAGGCTGAGGAGTGAGGAGCAAGGAAAAGTTTCTTGTAGATTGTAGGTGAATCAGGGCCAAGGGTAAGAAGTGAGGAAGGAAAGATGTAGGGTGAAGGAACAGGGGACGAAGATGAGATCAAAAGCATAGCAGCTTAATTATTACCAGAGCTATGAGGGGACAGAAAAAGTAGGTACAGAGAGGAACTGAGAGTCAGGATGGAACTGAAGCTGTACAGACAGAATTTTGTATTAGAGAAATAAAGTAATGGACAGAAGAGCATGGTGTACATAGATTCTTTTCCCTCAGATAACCCCACGCCAGACATAGCATCTTCCCCAGGACTCTGGGAGGAATCCTCTCAGGGCAGGCCCTTGGGAAAATTCTGTTAGGTATCATCATTTTGGTAAATGCTTTGGTTCTTTGTCATCAATATCAGCAGACTTTCAAGTTCCCATTGCTTCTGAACTGGGACTTTCTCTGAGTTATATCGGAGACCACCTTGAATGTTCTTTCTCCGTTTGAAATTCGCTGCTCTTTCTGGGGTCTCTTTCCTAGTTGGCAGTGCTTTGTGTGAGCCCCAGTCAGTATGGAGTCCTTACTCTCTGTGATCTATTTGCTCATCTTCTAGGTCTACCTATGAAATTGACCCACATTGACAACCTTGCCATTTTGATGGGTCTGGTTCAAGCTTGGGCCATGTCACTGGGACTCCCCAAAGCCTCTAATATCCAAGGTCTCCTTCCTCCTTGGGCTTCTGTGGAGGCGTTCACATCCTCACATTGCTCAGAGGCTGTGTTGACTCTCTGCTCTGTCAAGTGTTCTGGCTCCTGCTCTGCCCACCTTTCTTCCCCTGTCCCTAAGCAGTCAGCCTATTAACATGCACCCAGGTCCCCACCTTCTCACTTTGATTTAGTTTGTCTGCTTTTTATAACGATTTCTCCATAAACTCCCCTGTTGTTTCAACTGGAATCACTCTTTCATTCTCCAGGATTCCAAAGCCCCGCCTCTGGGTTTTCTATAGCATTTATGCTTAGGAACTTATACAACAAGAGAAATTTGTCGCTTATATTTCCAAATAGCTCATTTCATTGTAACCTAGCTAGCCACGTTTTGCAAAGGAGCAGACTGGAGTAGGTGAGGGACTCAGTTCAAGCAAGGCCTGCCAACAAGAGCCAGCTGTGACCATTCCCAGATAGCCCATGTGAGAGCACAAGCCACACAGAACAGTGAGGATGGGCTGTCCTCCTCTGTCCCTATCTCCTTGTCTCTATATTTGATTGGAACAGAGCACAGGCCATCATCAGAGTAGACCGGGACAAGAGTCATCAGACAGGGAAGGAGAAGCAGGCGGCTCCTGCTCACTGTGCTCAGAGTCTGAAGCAGACTTCACTAGGTCAACACTGGAGAACGTGCAGTGGATCAGACAGAGCCTGATAATGGCTGTCCCTGGACTATGAAATTTACTGGCACTGTGTAGCAGGGTCCTTTGCTGTCGTTCCCTCTGGGGGGCGGGGGCCACGTAGGCGCAGAGTCAAACCACACAGACTCTGGGAGAATGTCGAAACAACAAGCTCAGTTTATTCAGGAAGAGGCAAGCCTTATATACCCTCCACCCCACCCTGGGGGGAGGTCTGATGAATATGCATCAGCTGGTGCGACATGGCTGCCTCTCATTGGTCCGGGTCATCTCTAGATCATGTTTCAGCTGCTGTTGCTAAGACCATCAGGCAGACCCAGGCTGGCTCTCAGAAAGTATCTTTTTACTTGTTTGGGCCTTCTGGCCCTCAAGCAGGTTAGGGATGAGTCATCCCACAGCACTATAATACTTTAATATTGGAAAGTGAGTGGAAAGGCAGGGACTAAGCAGAGCAGGTGGAAGTTATCAGTACTAGAGAAAGTTGAAAGGGATAAAGGAGACCTAAAATGATGACATGTTCCTGGGCATGTCAATAGTATGCTGAGAATAAAAGGTCTACTGAGATATGTACTTATTTAACCACTAAACAAAATCAAAGTGGCTTCCTTATGACAAGATGCTTCCTCAGAGTTCTTAATATGGTGGTGTATGTGGTGGACCTACAAGAAGTGTTCTTAGACAGCAGCTCCCTAGTCATTCAGTTTCCTGTGTTCTTAGTGTGTATATTTAGAAGACTCAGCTGCTCCAAGCCACAGCAATAGCATCCTGAGCGCATAGATGAAGAATATCCTAGTTGTTCCTTTTATTCTGAAGAGTTGAGGCAGGTCCAGGACACCTTAATAGATGAAGAGTTATTAAAGAGATAAACACAGAAAATAAGGAGCATGATTCTCAAGCAGAGGGATCAAGTCCCATAGGGCTTGGGACAAAATCTGGGCATTGGAAAGTCATTTAAATGACACTATAACTCTTCAGTAGTGATTTATTGGGTATGACACCAAATGTACAGGCAACGAAGGCCAAAGATAGATGAATTG